AAGTGATTTGGTTTTTCAAAAACTTTGAAGCATACTCCTATTTTATCGCGATTTTGCAAATCAAAGGCCTAGTCCTTCCGTGTTGATGTGGAGCCATTAACCGCTATAGTTGACACAAATACCAAGAGTGCACATGACGATCCAACTAATGAGAAGGTGCTATGGGAACGGGGCAAGAACAGACTGCGTATGGAAAATAACCAAGATTGCAATATCGAGCATAGTAGTATACGATCCAAAAATCCGTTGGAAGCTGAAAGAAGATGTGATTATCAAGGAGTTCTTTCAAGTTGTTTTTCAGCCTAGCGAAATGATCCAGAAATTCTCGCTGCAAGATACTTCTGGCAACTATGTGACTTATGGAACAACACTGGAGAATCTAGTTCTTTTGTACTACATTGATATCTACTTCTAACCTAAAATCACACAGTTCTCAGCCCAAGTCGAACTAGATCTTCTGGCCTTGATCCCGGCCTTCTTTTCCAATCAATTTCTTGCTGAAACAAATGGCTACGCCACTGGAAGCAGGTAAAACTCTCTCAGCCCTCAAACAAATGGTACATGGCAAAAGTGGGGGCCTGGATGAAATGATAATCAAATTTTGGGATTTAATTGACCTTGACTTCACCAATATGCTTCGTTAGGCCATCTCAATGAGATCTTTACCGAATGGAATGAATTACGGACTTGTTATCTTGCTCACGAAGGATGGTGACAAGAAATTTCTTCCAAATTATTGACCTATCACTTCACTCAACACTTCGTATAAAATATTTGCAAAAATGTTGCAGATTAGGTTGCAAATTTTTCTATATGACATTATTCACCTTGGATAGTCAACTTTTATTCTGTCATGATACATTTTGGATTCTATCATAGTTCAACACCAAACAATTTGTTGGACTAGTGAAATCAATCAGCCTTTGATTATGCTCAAATTGGACTTAAATAAAACTTATAATTCTGTCCGTTGGAGCTTTCTTTTTCAATCCTTGGCAAAAATGAGACTCCCGCTCACTGTTATTGCTACGGTTCAAATGTTACTTTTGCGCGCGTCTGCAGCAAATATCCTCCTTCATGTTGGTTGTCCTCTTTTGGATGCATGATTGTACCTCCTAGGTTTTTATCAAAATGCTAGGTATTCCATTTGATGTCTCTTTGACCACGGCGGATGTGAACACATTTCTCACCGATAGGAACAAAGCCAAACTTGATTATTGGTCTTTGGTTCACCTCTCACTTGCTGCTCGTTCCGTTGTGGTCAACTCTAACATTCTTTTGACGTTTTGATACTTTCTTAGCATTTGGGACAGATCAACATCAATTCTACACACCATTTGTGCATCACTCAGAAACTATTTGTGAACTGATACAAAAGAAAATGCAAGGATCCATGTTTGTTGGGACTACTACTGTGTAGCTAAACGCATTGGAGGACTGGGCATCATTGATCCAAAGGAGTCACTCACGACACTTATGGAAGAGTGGATGATCAAGGCCTTCGTCCCCGATACGTCTCCACTTCATATCTTTATGCAACATCGTTTGGCTGGTCTTAGACCATCCACATCAGCCTCTTGGTTACGTAGTTTGCAATTGGCATTCTTGACTAAATTTTCAGCACCTAGAGACTCGCATCTGTAGAACAGACTTATACAAGCTTGGCATTTACTTAGTCAATTGATGGATGCTAAACCTCTGACGACAATTGAGGAAATCCAAAACATTCTGCTTTGATGGAACACACATTTACTTGGCAATAACTTTGGTTTTAGTCTAATTCGAGCTTGCCAATTCACAAGTAGAGGATTACGATGTTTGCTTCAGATGTTGGCTTTTGAATACCATGTGAATATTGCCTTGGCAGGAGCTACAACTCCGGTATGGATTACAATAATCAGAAAAATCCAAATACACTTGTTTCAGTCCAAGATCCGTACGGAGTTGAAGATCATCAATCACCGCACACAATTCCAATCGATCTCAGGAGAATGGCTTGACGGCATCTATGCTAACAAGGTTGTGGATGATACTTTGGTGTTGTTTTGAACGTCTTCAGATTTTTGCCCTTCAATATTGCACGATCATGGAAGCATTTTGATACCAGAAACTCACACTACCTTCATGATGGGTACTATGTCCCGGTTGCTGATACCTTTTCATCAACCTCCACAGGGCTCCAGTCTGTACAGAGTTTGTCTTGCTCACACTCGTGTCATTACAATGGAGGTGCCGATCACATAGCAGGCTAAATCCATGCCTAAGTATTTGACATCAGTTGCTCGTTTTGCTTTTGATCCAGGCCGTTTGACCTGGAATACCGGTGAAGCACTCTACGCCTAGACGGTTAGCTGTGGCCGCCATTGGCATCATCCGCAACAAACACTTAGCTTGCCTATTAGTCTAAAGTGGAGAGAGCTAGTGTCTGCAAACTTTGTTTCCAATTGGTACAAGGTCTAGATCCTTAGCCGTCCCCGCAAGGAAGCGACATTCTTGTGGAGCTTCTACCATCGTGCGAATTTCGTCAACCAATGGCGACATGTTGCTCATTCAACAATCTCTAAATAACAATATTTAGAGATTGGAGGCATAGCAAAATATTTTGAGGCATGCCCATGCTCATGCCCCAAGGTCAAAATGTAGGTCCCATGCCCCTAGACATGCCTGTATCACAATACGTACATTTGATGTATTAAAACATGTACATACGTCCCGGGAGGCTTTTTTGACTTTGCAGTCGTAGCCTCTCGGAAGTTCTAGGCTTTTGCTACCACAATTTTATAACGAGTTCCTGATATATCTGCGGACACAATGCATTGGACTCCCTTGACCTAGCAACAAAGCCTTCTTGGGGCAGAGCTGGATGCAAGGTATCAATACCTGGTCAGTCATGCACTGCTCACTCATGTGAATTATCTGATTGAGACGGAAAGCGTGCATATTTAATAACACCCAATGGTTCATTGCGCTGTGGGATGCGACGGTGGATCTGGCCAAAATGACATGGTTGCACGTTCAATTGCTAGAGAAACAACATCCGGCTGCGGCTATTAGTGCAGGCAAAAAGTTATTGAGTCAATGTGCTTGAAATGAGACTATCTACACGTTTCAAGGTGATAAGGTTAGATGGGTGCATACACCCGATCAGAGCTATATTGGTTTTATCAGGTAGTTAAAAAACTTAGATTTAGCTAGACAGGTTTGCGGTGTGTATTTTGCTCTTCTTGCAGTGAAATTTTCACCATTTGACTCCAAGAAATAAAATAACTTGGGCAAGACAGCTGCTTCCCAAGTGGAAACCCCTTTGTTTCTTCGGAGAGAATCAACTTTCCTCGGCTTGGGCTTACCTACAAGGCAAGGCTACAAATTGAGTACCAATAGGACCCCGCTTGGCTTGAGAGTCCCACCCTGCAAGAAAAAGAAAAAGGACTGGTACCCACCTCACCCAGCCTGCCTTTTTGGGCAGTTACACACTTGAGCCTAAAGTTCGAACAGACTTTTGAGAGATTCTTCTGAGTGTATTGCCGGTAGCAGAGCAGTTAGGGAAGAAAATATTCTGAGTGTGGAAGAGTGTAGCCCGGAAATCTTAAGAGCTAAGACCGACACGACCCGCACATTCTGTGTGCTCTCCTATGAGAGAAAGATCATATCTTTCTTTCCTTCCTTCTTTTCGGATCTCTCAAGGGCAACATAACATGAAGGGGGTAAGACTCACCACGCTTTTCAATTCTTTTCCACTTTTCCCAAAAGGTTGACTCACCAACAGATTTCACAACACTCTAATAATATTACGTAATTTTATTAGATAAGCACAGAATATTCTGGATATATTTATTTACGTAATTATTATTATATTATTCAGTACCCTGCTACACACTCACAGGCTATAGACTCCCCAACTCATCCCGTCTCTCCGGAACGAACTAACAAAGCTTAAAGAGAACCGCGAGTGGAATGAATCGACTCGTACCCGGACAACTTCGCTAGAGTAGGGAGTGTCTCAGAATGGCCGGAGATCGAACCTCCGCCTCGACCTTGAAGGCCCAATCGGGAAAGAAGTTGCGAGAAGAAGTACTCTGCCGGTTAGAATACCTCGTCCCATCTTTAAATCTTCTGCAAAAGTTTCATCTCCCCGTTCGTTTGGAATTGCGATTCAAAGCATCTGGGCACAGTCTACTTCCGCCGGCTCGGGGAAACTCTCCACACATGCTTCTGGGGACGAAGGAGCCGCCCCTACTGGTAGTCGGTTGAAAACCGAGGAGGTAGAATGCGCCGCTTCTAGCATGGATTTTGACTTAGAAGCGTTCAGTCATAATCCTACGCATGGTAGCTTCCATTCACTACCTTTTCAACCAAACGCTATAACCAATGAAGCGGATCGCCGGTTCCTCTCGTACTAAGTTGAATTACTATTGCGGCGCAGAGTCTTCAGTTGGTTGGTTTTAGTATTGGTTGCACGTAACAGTATGAACCTGTTACGTATGTGCGATCACGTAGATTAACAAAAACATGTCAGCTATGGAAGTTTCGGCAAATAGTCAGAGTGGCCCTTTGCCTTTTCAGTCGTAATTGGAGCACAATTTCTGTATTCGGAAGCTGTCCCTAAAGGTCAATTCCACCCAGGAAGCAAACGCGTTCTCCTTCTGGCAGCTTCCATCCAGTTGAACAATATCTCGTCGACCCGACAACTTGCACTGGTTCACGTTGCGCACAGACAAACTTGTTCACAGTAATGTGGCTGAGTTCCAGTCTGAAAATTTTCCCACACAACACCTATTGTACACACCCGTGAGAAGTACTCTGCAAATTTGCACGCTAAGCTGAACGAATCTTCACAAGTAGCTCGTCAGTACTCTCACCATGCGAGTAGTCGTTGTAAAAGTACCGCAAGTCGCGAGTCGCGTTACAGCAGATAAATGAATGCCAATGCGAATCTCTCAGGATCATGGCCCATGATCTGAGATATTGAGCGCCATGATTCATGGGGCTCAAGACTTGTAATGTACGACACTGTACGAGAAGAATATGTGCACAAGGACATTCCGACCGGTCTCTCCGGGGATTATGACATTGTAAGAAGACGGAACGACACAGATCATGCCGAAGAGCACAGGGACTCGCAAACTTTCTCGGACAAGTCAAGTGGACCAGATCGGAGACTACAAGTCATGCCATCATCCAATTCAGACTCAGTGCACCTTTGGGCTTCAGTGCTCTGCACCACCGTTGCCGTCGAGAGTTTGGAGCATTCGGGTCCTCACACTCCTCAATTTCACCTTGCGTCGAGGCCTGTTGGCTCAAACAAAATGGCACATGATCTGTCCAACCCGGCCAAGAAGGTCATTGCAATGAAGCTCGTGAGCAGCGCCGAGAACTCGTCTCTCGACTGGGATAAACAATACTCGTACATTGAGGACATCGGAGACGGGCGGGGCTACACAGGCGGCCTCATCGGGTTCACATCCTGCACCGGGGACATGCTGGAGCTGGTCGAGCTGTACGTGAATCGAGAGCCCGGAAACGTTCTGGCCAAATACTTGCCGGCGCTTCGAGCGGCGGTAGGCTCCGATACGCACCGGGATCTGGGCGATGGCTTCGTCCGCGACTGGAAGAAGGCTGCCAAGAAGAGCCCTGTGTTCAAGAAGTGCCAGGACGACGAGCTCGATCGAGTCTGCTTCGACCCGGCCGTGAAGAAAGGCCGCAAGGATGGCCTTCGAGCTCTGGGGCAGTTCATCTACTACGACGCTCTGGTGATGCACGGCCCCGGCCGCGACCCCAAGTCCTTCGGTGGCATTCGCAAAAGTGCTCTGTCATCTCAGCGTACCCCAAGCCAGGGCGGCGATGAGCGAGCTTACCTCGAAGCTTTTCTGAATGCTCGAGTCGTGGCCATGAAGGCCGAGACTGCTCACAAGGACGTCAGTCGTGTGGAAAATGCCCAGCGCGTGTTTCTCCGCGATAACAACTTTGACCTTGCCACTCCCTTGCGGTGGAGCGTGTACGGTGATCAGTACGCCATCCCTTGATGCTTTCTCTCCCGCCCTAGCGTTCAGATCAACGTACAGAATATCGAGAACAGTTGTGCTTTTTGTTTTGCTTGAGTCCTATCCCTTGTCGGAAACAATTGTTGTCCCTTGTTGCCAATTGTTGGAACAGTTCAAATGTTTGAAATAAACGTGCAAGTTGGCAAATAAGAATTCAGGACAATAGGCAACACAAGGATAATTGGAAAGAACTTGCAGGTTATGTCAGTTAGTCAAGGAACTCCAAGGAATATTGTGTCAGAAATTGCTCAGCACACACCGAGAAGTATCATGTCACATGTTATAAAGCATCAATGAAGCAATGAATGCATAGATGTGCTAACTCGAGTTTAACTTGGAGGGGGGTGGGGGGTATCGCGCGAGCGCTGACTAAAGGGCAGCTAAATTTCTTTCTTTCTTTTGGCGAGATTCTCATTTCACGTACCTTGCTTGCGGTGTTGGAGCCAGTCTCTTGACATAAACCCACCGATAGAATTTTTCATCACGCAATCAGTAGATCCTTCGCCTTCCCTTCCACCTTTCCGGCCAGGAGCTACATCGCGGAGCTCTTCACTTTGTGCCTAGGAATAACATGTATTTGGTTTTCCAGTCTACTAGAAGATATTGTTGACCTTTACATACAAATTACTAAGCATATCAATACGAAAATATTTGCTAAAAATAGACATACTACCTGAAAATCTTAAAAAAGTTTAAGCATATATCTGTAATTTTTTTTCAATACTTCTGTTAGAATAAAACCGTACTTCAAAAAACTTACAAATAACTTCATAGAATTTGCAATAAAGGTTGGTTAATTTGGACGTAATTTTAGAATGAATTTATAAAAATTAATTTAGATAAAACAGTTTATTTCATTTGAATATTATTAATTCATGTTATGGATTACATTTTAAAAATCTCAATTCGGATTATATTCAGAGTAAGGATTGGGTTCAAAACTAGTAGAAGTTTTGCTACCATGTATTCACTCTATTATTTATAAATAATAGAGTGAATTAATAGAACTACTTGTGAAAGATTGTTTAGGTTAGCGTTCAAACTCTGCCACATTACTCTGGACTAGTTTGTTTCTGCGCAACGTACACCAGTGCAGGTTTTCGGATCGGAGAAATATTGTCCAATTGGATGGAAGCTTCCATAAGTATGACACGTTCTACTTCATGCATGCATTGATCTTTGAAAATAGCACAATCTCTATACGTAAATATAAGAGATTGTGCTCCAATCACGATTGAAAAGAGAAAAGTCCACTCGCATTATTTGCCGAAACTTATGTAGTTGACATGTTGTTAATCTCCATGATCGCATATTCATACTATTACAATGCAACTAATATTAAGGCACGTGAAATTAGCAATTGTGACCATGTTTGACGGTGTACGTATATTCTTCGTTTATGTATATTAGTCATGTGTCACCATTATCGTTACGTATCGTTGACGTTAGAATTTCAAAGTAGAGACATTTTGCATTTTAGAGTGTGTGAAATTCACTCCCTTAAAGTTCAATGGATATGACAATGACATGATTTGATTGGATTTGCACACAATTGACTTGTTTGACGTTCAAGACGACGAGGAAGTATGTTTAGTTTTTCACGGTGTGCGACGAGGTGATACGTTGAATTTTCCAGTGTGGCATGTCTTGAATCTCACTGTCTTTGACTCAATGTATAATGATGGTGTGAAGATCACTCTGGTTGCTTTTATGTATATGATGATTGTGTGATTTGATTGAATTTGCAAATGACTAGTTTCATTGACGTCCAAAAACAAGGAAGTATGTTTAATTTTTCAATTGTGTGAAACTCACTCTCTTAGTCTCAATATATGTGACAATGTCGTGATTCGATTGGATTTGTGAACAATTGATTTGATTGACGTCCAATACGAGGTAGTAAGTTTAGTTTTCCAATGTGATATATCTTGGAACTCACTCTCTTCTGCTCAATGTATATAAAAATGAGTGTAGTGATTTTAGTTTACATACACCCAACACACATCCACGCAGTTTTAGTTATATACACCCAAGAAATACCACGCTATACGTTGCGCAGTTACTTGGATGTTTAGCGTGGCATTTCTTGGGTGCGTGAGGTTTAAACTGCGTGGGTGTGTGTTGGGTGTATATACACTAAAATCAATAGCACCTATAGAAATGGCGTGAAGATCAATCTGGTTGGTTTATGAATATGGCGACAGAATGATTGGATGCATTTGCAAAGTACTAGTTTGATTGACGTCTACGACGAGAGTACGTATAGTTTTTCAAGTATGCAAAACTCACTTTTTTATGTTCAATGGATATGAAAATGGTGTGATTTAATTGGATTAGCAAACGATTGGCTTGATTGATTTCCAAAAGGAGTCAAAACGTTTAGTTTTCTAATGTGGCATTTCTTGCAGCTCTCTCTCTTTTCCTGAATGTATACGTAAATGACGTGAAGGTCACTTGATTGGATTAAATTTGCAAACAATTGGTTTGGTTGACGTTCAAGACAAAAAAAACGTTTAGTTTTTTTAATTCAACGAATTTAATTTTCTAAGATTGGATTTGCAACTGATTTGTTTAACTGAGCTCCAAGTTGAATTAAAACATTTTGTTTTTCAATGTGACAATTATTTGATATCACTCTCTTTCACTTCCTAGATATGACAATTACGTGAAGTTTCAATTTTGTTTGTTTCATGTATATGACAATGGCGTGATTGGATTTGCAAAAAATTGCTTTAATTGATATTTAAAATGATTTAGAACATTAATTTTTGCAGTAAGTCAGTTTTTGCAGTTCATTTACTTTGGCTCAATGTAGATAGATTTAACAATCGTGTAATTAGATTTGCAAATGATTGATTTGACTTATGATCAAGATGAGTTAAGACGATATGTTTTTCAATGTGGCATTTATTGGAGCTCACTTTCTTTGGTCCACCATATATAATGATGGCGTGAAAATTAATCTCGTTGGTTTCATGAATATGACAATGGCATGATTGGACTGGATTTGCAAATGATTGCTTTGATTAATGCGACGGATTAAAATTGTATTTTGGAATACAACGACACATGAGTATTAGATTTCTTGCTTGATATACTTACTTTCTAGGGTTTTCTATAACAAGATTAATCTTGCTATTCTAATCTATATTCCTCATACTACTCCGAACATTGTAAGTGAGCTTAAAACATGGAGTAAGGATTTGAACATATGAGAGATACTGGTTAGAAATCAAAATTCAAAATCTAACCTCATTCCCTCTTCTTCAATCAAATCAATACAACTAAAATCTCAGTTCAATAAATCTAATAAATCCATCGCGTTAAACAAGAGATAGTGCTCTAAGACAAAAAATGAAACGATCTATCTACTTTTGGACATATATATGTACATCAGTCCAAAACATATTCTTCTTGGATGCAAAATCCTAAATCAAATACTAAACACAATGACGACGGTGAGACAGTAATTACATATGTATGACAACATTAAAACATACGAGACAACAAATGAAACGGCCAACCTCATTTTGGTTATCAATTTCTAAACAGACAATAACAATCACACATGGATTCTATATGTATTCCAGCCCAAAATAACTCTTTCTGGAAACATAGGTTTGAATGGCTTTAGTGAAAAATCTTGTTAAACATAACTTTATTTGCAAGAATCATGTCTTATTATAGAAGAAAAAAACGGTTGTAGTGTGACATAGGGATGAATCTCTAATAAAATTTTATGAAGTTTTCATCCACAAGCTCATAAGCTCTACTAAATGATGTGACAATGTGGATGATTTGTATTGATTGGTAAATAATTTACTCATACACTTGATTAAAAACTGATACTTCTTGATTTACAGAATTTGTAAATAAATGCAATCAATGAACACTTTTTGAACAAAATTCATCTAAATGATGTTTCAGTATAGCAAGAATTTTGAATTGCAATTTGCAGTTAAGATTATTATTGCAATTTTGACTATTCAACGTAATCTTTAACTTTTTAATGTGGCAAAATTGACCTTTACTTGAAAATCTGAAAGCAAGTGGAAAGTTCCCTAATTATTATAAAACTTAAACAAAAAATGATTTCTATGTGCAATATATGTATTGTACATGCATCTCATCCGAATGAACTTTGTTACTCAATTGCTTTATTGATCTTTGATAAATTTGTGACACTTACTTGGAATGCTTATGTAAGTTCATAATGGAAAATAAGCATTCTTTTGCAACTGATTTTTTCTTTGTTGATGATGCGAACCTAAAGATCTTCTTGTATCAAACATGAATTTCATTTTGTAGATATTAGTGTAGTTTGATGTTTGTCTTCCATATGGATTGTGCTTTAAGGAGTACCTTATGAGTCGTTACTTTAGCATGGAAGTATGAGTGAAGACTTATAGAGAGAAAACTGTACCTATATGGTCAGCTTCAGTCTCAATACAACCTACAATAATATTTAGTTCTTGGGACCAGTGCGCTTAGTTGCGAGCTAAGAAAGACTAAATAGGAAAAAAAACACCATTGAAACATTTTTAACTCTTGGATTTGCAAAGTTGTTATATCAGAGTAAACATGCTGAGAGCAACATAGTACTTGAGGTAAAGTTGTATGCTTGGATGTATGGGATTGAATTATTGCAATGAGACTTGTGTTGCGAATGTCAGACTAAAGCATATTTGATGAGTTTAGATTGGTTCAAGCGATTATTGTTGTGATTGTTTTGCATCAGAAGTTTGACGTGTGTGTTTAAACTCAAAGCTCAAGCATATGGCAAACTATCATCGATTTGATGTAAACAAAATGATTCATCGGTGAAAAATCAAGGATGTAAAAGCCAATGATGTCTGTCATTTAGTTTACTGCAAAATTGATCCAAAAGGAGTGATATTATCACGGACATACCACTAGTAGTGATGATGTCGAGATCGTGCTGACTTTTGCCAACTTTGGAGATGATGTTGACTTTTTACAAC